CAATATCTGTAAAAATATATTTATTTTTTGATATAAATTTTAAATACAAAATACTGATATATTTAGACTCCTTACGTAAAATATATACTCATTTATAATAAATGGGTATATTAAAAATGATAAAATTGTGAATCCAATTTTCCTTGATTAAATGATTTGTAAAAAATGATTATTTAAAATTATATGTAGTTACGTATAAGTAAATGGGTCTAAATCTAAAATATCTAAAAGCTAAAATATATACTAAAAAATTGTGGTATTGTAACTACCGTACAATTACATAGGATCTAATTGTAATTATTGATATGTTTCAATATTTATTTAAATAATTATTTACTATTGATTATTTAAAATTATTTAATATTTAAAATTCAAAAAATTGTGGTAATGACATGTGTCATTTTTTCTTCTCCTTTTATATATAGATAGATTTGAGGGTTCTTTATTAACTTAAATTAAATAAAAATAAGTTTTATTTAAAATTTTAATTAAAAAAAAGTCAAAGTCAAATCAATTAAAATTCTGGCTGCTAAGTTTTTAATTTTTTTCTAAAATTCTTAATTGTATCTAATTAAGGATAATTTTATCAAATAATATTAATTTTGAATTATTTCTAATAATAGATTTATTAACTATTATTAAGATTTAGAAAGTAACTAAAAAAAAGCATAAAGGACAAATGTTGCACGTTACATCGTCAGCCCAAAGAACCACTGGGCTACACATACTTTATGTGTTCACGGTGTCCAATATATATTAAGTAGTCATTTAGGATATCATTTTACTTATATATACGGTATAATTTTTTGACGAATGGTGTCCGGTTGGACACACTGACACCACTGTAGCTCCGCCCCTGCTCTAATCCTTCCAACTAGTTCTACTTTATTTCCACTTCTTGACTCTATGTCACGCTCTGAACCTACACCCTGAATGTGACCGACACTCTAGAATCATTGTTGATTCACAAGCGAATCGTTGGCCTGACTCATTACTCAGCAGAAGACTTACTCAAACAAAATGGGAACTCCAAATGCATAATTAAACTTTAAACACTCAATTTAAACTTAACTCCAATAATTGTTTAAAAATAATTTAACAAATATTAGTTAAATGCCTCATGACCTCAAAGCATTACAACAACAAATGAAATAACGATAGACTCCTCGACCTTTAAATTATCTATGAAGCCTCTACAATTACAAAAGAATTATCGGGACAAGACCCACGACATCCTAACAACTGAAAGTAAAAGTGAAACTCTCCAAAAGCAAGGAGGCTCACCAAAGCTAACTGGAACTGCAAGTGGTATCAACATAGTGTATGTTGATGACCCTGAATACCTGATCTGCATCATGAAAGATGTAGGTCAAATGACGTCAGTACATTGAATGTACGAGCATGTAAGGGGAACTCTAAAGCATAAACATAAGCTTGAACTGATAGAAAAGAAACATACTTACCTCTTCTCAAACTCTCTCAACTCAACTCAAACTCCACTTAAGGATAGGATACTCAACTAAATGATAAGATACTCAACTCAAAGGTAAGATACTCAACTCAACTAAAAAAATACTCAGCTCAAAATACTCAAGGATAAAGCAACCATAAAAGATACAATATATGGAAAACTTTTAAAACAATGGATAATAACTCAATTGTATGTAAGAGTACAATAATAACTCAATTGTATGTAAAAATACAATAATAACACAACTGTATATAAAAATATAATAATAACTCTTATTTGGGAGAAACTCTAACCGACAACCATCATTATGAGCTACGTGATAATAAAACGTCTCGCCTACGCTGCCAAAACTGCCCTATACCTTGTCGGAGTATAGGGAATCCTCAACTAAGTAGATCCACTAAGCTATGCTTAAAAACAATAAGGAATTATCTAAAAAGTATGACCCTTTACCCATGTTGGCATATATGATTTATGAGGATTTTGAGTTGCCTGAACTCATCCCATATTTGTGCTCAATACTACTCCCAATAATATATAACTCATGCTCAAATGTTTAAAAACATAACTCTTCCTCAATTTGCGATAATTACTAAAAATATCCTCTTAAAAGAGGTGATGCCCAAGATTCCTCATAAATTCATTTAGAAATCAATGTTTCTCTCATTTTAAATGTAAGAGTGTTGCATGCTTAGGAATACTTAGTTCCCTTAAACTCATTTTGAAATATGAAACTCAACCCTCTTCATCCTCAAACTCATTTACTCAAGGCTTAAAACAAGTTAGAATTAGTTGCAAAAGATTTCTCAAAAAGGGACTCAAAGGATTTCTCAAACTTTACCCTTAATATATGATTTAATTTGAAATGGAGATTTAAGAGTTATGATTAGGATATGAATGATCTCTCAAGAAACAATGAAGTTTAGCATAGTTAATATCAATAAGGAAATGAATACAAGATTATAAGGATAGAATACGGGACGAAAGACGGAAGGGAACTGAAAGGGAAAGTGGCTTGACGCTCCTGGTGCAGGGTGGCGCGTCGTGCCAGACCTCCATTTATTGGGGGTCTAATTGGACGCATTGCTGGCGCGATGCGCTAGGTCTCCATTTATTGGGGGTTTGATTGGGCGCATTACTGCTGCATCACACCAGACCTCCATTTATTGGGGGATCTGATTGGGAGAACTGCTGACGCATCGCACCACACCTCCATTTATTAGGGGTCTGATTGGGCACATTGTTGGCGCATCGCACCAGGCCTCCATTTACTAGCATGATTGGGCGCGTTGCTATCGCGCCGCCCAACCCAATTCCGAGATGTTTCAATGAGTTTTTCTTCTCGATCTTTGATTGATTTCTTCCAAACTTTCTTAGATTCGTAAACCCAACATAAGTAAACAAAAAATTACTCAAATTTCCTCAAGAACAACCCTCAAAGTCGAAACACTCACCTCAAGAACTCATTAAACTCCATTAATAAGGAATGAAGAACAAAACTTGAAGAAACCTCAATCAAGAACTCAATATACGAAGTCTCATGGATAAATTCAAAATTTGAAACTCATGATTGGATAAAATAACAACAACAAGCCAATAATATTTACGCAGTCCATACCACTAGAGAAGTCGGCTTAAGGCAAAAACAATCTAGAGAAGGATAAAATACAAGTTCTACAACCTACAACAACAACAAACTCAACTAACCCATAATGTATTTGCAATCATACAAGCTCTTCTCTAAACTCAATTTCTCCAACCGTCGTACAAAGAGCAATGCACTAACGAAAATTGATACTCTAAAAGTGCCAAATCACAAATCGAATAAATTACAAAAAACATGAATTTATTTTTTCAGAATTTACTTCTCCTGTATAAGTACATAACAGAGTCTAAAACAGTTGCAAATAAAATAGCAATAGCAAAGCATCTTTTGAACACATACAAATTAAAGAGACGGTAGATTATTCAGTGAATTCAAACAATCATCAAATATTCATGCAACAAATATTACTGCAATTTATAGAGATTTACAGAAACACAATATCTGTTAACTATAGGAAACAGAAATTATACAAGGACCGAAATACTATATGAGTTTAAACAATAACTATAAGTTACTGAAACTCACAAAACACATACTACTACGTTTTGATTTTACAAATAACGCACAAGTTATGTGCATCGCCATTTCATGAGAAAATGATTTTGTAAAGTAAAAGAGAAGATACTTACAACAATATCCATGGAGAAAACACAATATGAATTTCTTAAACTCAGAAATGGAGAAACCAAACTCAATATCAATCAATATACATGGAGAAAACCACATGCTAGTGAAGTTTGTTGAGCAAGTGGCAGAGAGTGAGTAGTGCGCGACCTTTATCATACCCCACGCCTATTTTAACAATCTTGTCAACAAAACCTTTATGAAAATTGGTTATCACGTATTGTGCTCTTTCGTTAGCTAGTGGTGTTGTGAATCAAAATTCTTTGAGAAAATTTTCTCTATCTTATGTAGAATTAGACAAAAACATGTTTGAGACTCTACTCAATAGTTGTCTCTTGATTGACACTTTGATCTTTGAGCATTGTATTGGCTTGGAAACGGTGTATCTTTGAAAGATCAAGTCAGTTTACCTTAAGGTCTTGAAGATTCGGGATAGTGAGGGCATATGAGAGATTGATGCTCCAAATTTGGTGTCATTTGAGTACGCGGGGAAGCAAATTCCTGAATTTAGAATAGCAAGACAGCTGGAGCACTAAAAAATCTCTCTTTACCGTTTAGACAATATAAATGCTGAGTGGTTTTGTAAGTTGAGGAAGTTTCTATCAAAGTCGACGGCGGCCTCTTGGTCTCAAGTTTCAATTCGTTTTGAAGAATGCACTGAGATTAAAATGGAACATCTGCAACAACACTACAGAGTTGGTGCTACCATCCAGGTGGATGTTTTAGAAGTCAACGTTCTATTTTAGTATATGGAATGCTCTTCGTTTGTGGATGTTTTCAGGGGCGGATCTACGTTATGGCAAGGGGTGTCACGTGACACGGATTTGTGGAATTTTTTTATTAAATTCGTATATATAATCTAAAGGCAAAAACAAATAAATGAATAATATCATTAAAGTGACATTGTTTGTCATAATTGATGCCGCAGCTTAGATGGTCTAATGCCTCTGTGGCCTGTTCAAGTTCATAATATGAAATTCTTTCATGCCCTTTTACGAGAGACATCTTTTTGACTTGCACTCTTCTTTGTGTTTCTCAATCTAAACACCACAAATCCAACAGCCAACGTGAAGAGTGATCCAATCCCTAATAGAATATATAAACCTGTAAGCACTCTTTTTCTTCTCGACTTATTTGTAGATTTGATTAGGCATGGTTTTACGTTAAATCGGGAGTCACCACAAAGTGCATCATTGGACAAGAAAGATTGACTTGTGACATTTGCAAAAGGACCACCAATGGGAATTTCTCCACTGAGTTCATTGAAAGAGATATTTAGGTATTTGAGATACACAAGAGCTTCTAATGACTTTGGAATTTCACCACTATGATTGTTAAAGCACAGATCCAAGAATTCTAGTGCCAACATTTTGCTAAATAAATCTGGAATAGGCCCGTCTAATCTATTATGTGCTAGAGAAAGATTAATCAATTGAGCTAGACCCCCTAAAGTGCTAGGAATTTTATCAGAAAAATCATTTTTTGACAAATCAATGAGTGTTGCAGACTTAAAGTTTCCGAATTCCAGAGAAATATGGCCACTTAATAAATTGGATGAAACATTGAATTCTATTAGATCTTGAAGGCTCCCCAAGTTTGCAGGTAATGAATTCAGCCTGTTGAAAGCTAGATTAAGATACCTCAAACTCGTAACATTCCCTAAGCATGAGGGCACTGAACCAGAAAAATGATTTTCTGACAAGTCTAATGCACCAAGATTCATTAAACTGCATAAAACATTTGGTATGGTTCCTTCTATCTTGTTGCTTTGTAGGTAAAATTCTTGGAGGTTCAACATGTCTTGGACAGTATTTGGAATATGTCCGGTCAACTCATTGTTATACAGATCAATTCTTGTCACTCCAGTAAGATTACCAATTTCTCAGGGAATGACACCCTTCAATTTACAACTATTTCCTCCAAAATTTTGCAACGAGTTTGAGAAATTACCAACAGACGCTGATAAAGCCCCATCCAATGCATTCTCATTAAATCGGAGTGCTCTTAGTTTCCTACAGTTTGTTAATGATGTAAGGAAGCTCAATGATGAATCGCTGATAAAATTATTGTCCTCCAAGTTCAGAATCTCTAGGTATTATAAGTTACCAAGTGATTTAGGAATTGGACCTGTGAAACTGTTTACTGCAAGATCAAGTTTTCTGAGTTTTGATGAATTTGCGATTGAATCAGAGATAAAACCACTCAGATTATTTCCTCCACAAAAGAATTCTTCTAGGTTGGGCATTCCACGACCTAAATCTGAAGGTAGAGTACCTGAAAGATTGTTTAGTTCAAATTCTATGATCTGCAGTGCTGAAATGTTGAAAATGCTTGCAGGGATAGAACCAGTAAACTCATTGAAGGGTAATCCCAGCCACTGTAGTTTCTTAAGATTACCTAGCTCCATAGGTATCTCTCCTGTAAATTCGGGGAAATATATCAGTTACCAGTTTGGTGGGTGAGAGAAAAGGAAATATCATACTACCTTCCAAATGCAGAGATTCAATTACTAATGTTGTAAGAGCTGTTAAGTTGGATAGCTCTCTTGGTACAGTTCCAATAAACTCATTGTAAGACAATGACAAGATCTGAAGCTTTCTGCAATTTTCTATGTCTGGTGGAATAATGCCACCTAGGTAGTTTTTTGAGAGGTAAAGCCCTTTCAAATTTGGAAGATGATCACATATAGTTGTTGGAAGCTTACCAGTAAGATTGTTTTCACTAAGAGCAATGTTATGCAGCGTTGTAATGTTGAAGATTGATGTTGGTATAGAGCCAGTAAGTTTATTAAATTCCAGGTCTAGTGTAGTCAGGTAATGAAGATCACCGATTTCTCGAGGGATCTCTCCTTTGAGAAAATTATTCTGCAACCTCAACTCTTGTAGCTTTGTTAGATTGGAAAGGGAAGTTGGAATTCTCCCTGAAAATTGGTTGCTCGATAGGTACAGAAAGCATAGGTTTGGTAACAAACTTAAAAATGATGCAATGGCTCCGGTGAAGTTATTGCTTTTGACATTAATCAATTCCAACCTCTGCAAATGAGCCAACTCTTGTGGCAAATCTCCATGAAAAGTGTTGTTACTGATGTCAAGGGAAGAAAGAAATGAGAGGTTTCCAAGGTGTGGAGGAATGGTACCATGAAGTTGCATGCTAGAAATGTCTAAAGCAGTGACTCGATGGTGCCGGGAGCTGCAAGTGATTCCAATCCAGCTGCAAACTGGGCTGGAAGAAGACCAGTTGCTTGCTAAGATATTGTTAGGATGAAAAGAAATGTGTGATTTCAGAGAAAGAAGAGCAGCTTCATCAGTACTAATATTAGCAAGTGAAGTATTAAACAGAATGAAAATTGCAACAAAGAGAACATTGCAATTTATGTCCATAACTATGACAAGCAGATTTTTTTTACAAGAAATGACATAGTATAAGCTTTATTTTATAATATCAATTTCTTGTCAATATTTGAGTAACACGAGTTGTATTGTGAGAGGGAAAGTTGTTAAATGTGAAAAAAATTCTGCATGTCTGACCCTACAAGTTGTTTAATTTACATAATTTTCGTTGGCTTTTTTGATAATATTAAATTAAATCCCATATATTGCTCTTAGTCAAAATCTCAATTTCATTGTTTTGGTTGTCAATATTTGAGTAACACGAGTTGTATTGTTAAATGTATGGCATTATGCAAAACATTCTGCATTTCTGACTCTAAAAGGTTGTTAAAACTTTTCAAACATTTTGTTGGGTCCCAATCTCCTTGAAATTATTTACATAATTTTTGTTGGCTTTTTTGATGATATTAAGGGGTCGTTTGGTACAAAGATGCATAATGCAGGGATTACTAACGCATGGATTAGTAATGCATGGATTAGTTTTTTTCAAGTGTTTGGTTCATTGTTTTCCACCTAATCTTATATTTGGTTTAAAACTATAGAATTTTTTTTTTCCTATTATACTCTTGAGTTATTATCAAATTTTATATTTCATTTAACTAGTCAAGTTAAGTACTAAAATAAAAATAAAAAAATGTTATTTTTGAGGTGTGATTTGTCACTATAGACATCATTGATAGCACAGTATATTTCTATTTTTTTGTTGGTCATATATACCTTAAACTTAACATAGATTTAAGGCTACTTAAATTGTTCAAATACACAAAGGTTATCTTTTTAAAAAAATAAAAATAGTTCAAGTGGCCAATCGACGAACTACATTTAAAAAAAACGAAAAAAAGCAACCCAATATAACAAATCAAATACGGAGAAAAATTATTAGTTTGTGAAATCATCAAATTACATGGAACGTGGAACGAATTTGGAGAATTTAAAAGAATATCTATAAATATTCTCATATAAATAAATAAAAAAACATTAAATTACAAAAAAATAAAATTAAGAAAAACTATTTGAGGATAGTTTGGTCATTTAGGGGTCTTATCCAAGGATTGTTAAACCTTGGATTAGTTATCCTTCCCTTTTCTAGGGATAAAACGAGACCTTGTATGGGGTATAACTAATTCATGGATTAGGTTAAATAAAGTAACCAAACAATGTTTTTGTTGGACTAAATTTTAATCCATAAATTATTTTGATTAATACCTCCTACCAAACGGATCCTAAATCCCATATATATAATAGTCAAAGTCTCCTCTACCACGCCACTCTTCTAAAATCTCTCTTAGCTCACACATAATAAAGTTGAATCACACTACAGCCCTTCTATTAAACACTAATCTTATAATATTTATGGAAAAAATATATAAATACACATTAATTATAATAAATACTACTTATCATTTCTATTAAACAGTTGGATCCTTTTTTTAAAAAAACAAATTTACCACTAGATAGTGTCTAGCGGTCTTTTATTAAACATAAAAAATATCAATAGGGACAAGTACAAGTAAGCAGGGGCGTATCCAGGATTTCGAGATGATGGGTGCATTATTACAAAAAGGTTGATCTAAAATATAAATTTGATCGGTTGGACATTTAGGTTCTTATTACTGCAAACCGTTAAAATTAATATTATAGGTCCAAAACTAATTAAAATGTCAAAAGTGTTACCAATAACCATTTAGAGAGGTGTTATCTAATTTTACAAAGAAAAATAAAACAAAATGAATATAAAATTCAAATTTCTAACCTCACGTAGAGAGGTGCACCCAGTCATCATCGCATTAAATGATACTCCGAATATGGGTTCACACATCTATATTTCAATATTTTTCAAAAATATAACACGATTATATATGATTTCGGGAGGGGAGCATGGGTTCACGTGAACCCGGTGACCCCTCCTTGGATACGCCTCTGCAAGCAAGGGGGGTTAGGTCTTACCTTACTAATCCTAATGAAGTACCTAATTTCTGCTACCTAACAAGCATGGAGAAAATAAGAGTTAGAGAGAATTAAGTATTTCCTAATCATCACAGAGTTTGCAATACACTCCATGATGATATTACAAATGACGATGCTTAAATAATGTAAAAATATGTCAATCAAGAAGAAAGTTGAGTTACCATCCTCAAACTTTCTATTACTAAAGCATGAATTAAAAAAGATTGATTACCCATCAAAAGTAACTTGAAGTATTTTTCTCTTGTCTTCTTCTTCAAACCTATCCAACAACACTTGATGATTCATACCTTCTCTATGGATTTATTGAATCTAGTTGAACCTATTGATACTGTCAAATGGTTTTGCTTTGTTTGTCGCATCGATAGGTGCCTTGGAACAAACTCCTTAGTCATTTTACCGTCCCAACTATGTTGCCTTCCATATGTCTTTCTTTTTGCTTTTGTTGCTTCCACTTCTTTGTTGCCTAGGTGATATATCCCCTTCCCTAGCCACTCTATCATCGCAATTATCCAACATATTGTCTTCCTCATCTTTATCAAGAGAATCCTCACCCAAATCCACTCCATCTTCATCAAGAGAATCCTCACCCAAATCAATTGTATTTGACACTAAGGCACTTGACTCATTCTTCCTTGCAAGCACACATTTAGGCACAAATACAGGAGCTTCTGGACTTAATTTACTATTTAAAACAGGTAGTGAGACTTGTTTTTCTTGGATCAAATCATGGTCATTCTCTGTTAACCTTACTTGCTTTCCAGTAGTCTTCAATTGTAACGACCCTTTTGATCGTTTTGAGTACTAGAGCTTTTTAATTCATAAAATCCTTTCCTAAGATCTTAAATGGGTATTTTTGGACTATTCATAATTATAATTATGAAATTAGTGGGGTAGTTTTAATAATTAATTTTTTTGATGGTTAAAAAAAAGATAGAAGTAAAATTAATAGTGGGTCACTTTTACCACTTTTATTATTGGTAAGGTATAAGAATTAGGGTAATAAATAAATCGTAGAAAAGAAAAGAAAGAAAATAATATGGTGGCTTCCTCACACAGACGACGGAGAACTAGCAGCAACCAAAAGAACTCACGTGAAATTAGGTAACCAAGATTAAGTCATTATAATTTGATAAGGGTCATATTATTATTACTAGATACACGACCCCGTGCCAGCACGAGGCCCAATATATATTAGTATTTTTTGTCTCAATGTGATATCATGAAATTTTAGTATACAATTAATGAAACATACACACACGTAGAAGTGAGGTCAGGCTATTTGAGGGAAACACATTTGTTTTTGTGCTTTAGATGATAGCCTTTCGTGTTCCAAACTTTGAATGAAAAGAGGAGATGAGCAGCAACATTTTCCTGTGGATTTAACCTAAAGTGTTGTTTAAAAGTAGCAAAGGAAAAGCAAAAACGGTAGACATAATAATAATTCAGTGAAGCTAATCTCATTTAGAAAGTAATAATGAAGATAATATGTGAAACAGAAAAACACCAATTGAAAAGGAAAACTATTTTTCTCACCAAGTAGAGAATCAAATTCATCGCCATTTGCTGTTGCAGTTTCACTTAACATTGATTTCTCTGCCCTAAAACTTCTATTCGTACTTCAAAAAACCACTACTTTTCTTTCTGGAACAAGTAAGAGTACCTTTTCTTATCATATGAATGAATAAAAAAAATTAGATTCCTAAACTGGGCTCCCTCCTCTGTTTCGGTAAAGACATAGGTACACATCATAGGAAAAAACCCCAAAAAATCTCTGGTTTTTCCTGCAAATTTCATGAAATGAAAATAACACTTGACAATCATTATACACACATCCTCATGAGCTACTTTAACGGAGTCTATATGGCTGAAGTTTTTGACTTCTTGATTACATGCCAAGGCTTCCATAATGTAGCGGAATGTATAATCCACTGATGGTATTGGAAAGTTCTTGCCCATAGTCTTTACAAGCTGGGAATTTAAATCAGATAAAACAATTAAGTTAATTATGGTTAAAATACTTGTTTAAACTCTGCAGCTAGCCAATCTTTAAATCATACCGAAAATAGGCTAGTAAATCTGCTGAAATAAAAAGTACCTGCAGTTTTTCACAATTCCAAATTGATAATTCTTTCATCCATAGCTACATTAGTGGGAATATAATGCTGCAAATTTTTTTCAAATAGATCACTACTACTACTATGATAACATATGTAGAAGAAACGAAAAGCAAGAGAGAAGTTGTATGTTCGTAAAATGTAACAATAACTACAACAAAATAAGATGATAATCAAAGTATAAGAGAATCAAATAACAAGAAACTACATAGTAGTATTATGATTACTGGTACCTGATTAATCTTTTATCCTAATCTGAATCTTCCATTAGCTGCTATCTAAGTCTATATGGTTGGTTAGCAGAAAAGTATGTCATGTGCTATTTAACCTCTGAAAAGCGAAATAGAATATCAACTATCGAATCAGAAAGTATGAAATGGAAGGAAAAAGGAAAGACAACAAATAGATTACCTTAGCTGACCAGTGCTTACAGCTCAAGAGTTTTTAACAGTGGTTTTAATTGGGTGTCAAAATTTGACGGTACAACTAACTTTACTCCTGCCGGTCGAATGGTGTCGAGCACCTTCTCGGCATGTGGATGACAGAGGTACCAAGCCTATTGAAGCATGACAAACGAAAAGTAAAATTATTGAGTGCCTTCTTATTAATGTAGATGTTGTGTTGTCAACATTCAACTGCAAGAATAAGCCAATTTGTTTTAAACAGAAATGGGGTAATTCAAAACTAAGAGAACCATTTTAATGGTTACTGGGTGTTAGAACAGGCAATTGAACTGAGAACAGATATAAGAATTTATAACTTGAAATGTAATATACGTAATGGTATTAGGAAAAGTTGAAAAACATGAGTTTAAGTGACTGTTAGTATTAAATTAGTAATAATGGAAACCTTTTTGAGGGATCAGGGGAAGTTGTGGTTTTGTATTGGGACAATGGTTCCTTTCACGCG